GGTATGGGAGAACCGCTGAAAGCATATAAGCGGGAAACCCCTCTTGAAAAAAGTTATCATACAAAGTGAAAGACCATCACTTGAATAGGCGAGAACATTTCGTCCCACATATATCGTATCGATGAGATATATATCGATCGCACTACGATGGCTTACTATCTTTAGATAGATGCCAATTGGAGTATGTATTGTATTTGTATTGTATATAGACCTTCGCTGCAATCGTTTTGCGTGGGAGCCTCTATGGAAAAGGGTGATACGACCTGTGGAATTTCGTCCAGCAGACGCCTTTTTGAAACTAAAAGTTAATTGTTTGAGTGGTTTTCCTTTCCAACAACTGTAGAATAGATATCATATCAATCTATTGAATACTCCATATGAATATGATAATCAAAAAAATAACAAAAATTAATTTTATTTCATATTAATTTTATTTCATATTAATTTTATTTCATTCATTAGTAGCTAATCAATAAAATAAGAAGGCTTGCATTACAAGAATACTCCGATTCTCAATAAAAAAAGGAGCAAAACAATAATGAGAGTTACAAAAAAACCTCCCCGCTCGGTGTTTCTTCCTCCCCTTGCTACTCTTAATTACACCGACACTATTCAGGAAAGGTGACCACTTCCTGATGTAAGTATCTTCTACGATCAGAAGTTCCTTCTCGCTTGTCCTATCCACGGGTGATAATACGTAACTACCAGCCCCGAAAGTACATAACCATCGCTGGAAATGGGATCGTTTCTTACTACTGCACCGTGATAGGTGCTCACGCCAGCGGGTATCCACGTTACGCGTAGTCTTACCCACATACTGATGCTTACAGTAGGGAGATACCGCAACATATACGACATTATTAAGCAAGAGAAAATCATGTCCAAAAGTCTCAAAAAGTCGTCGCCAGGAACCCACCAACTTACCATTCCACTTAATCTCCCTCTGGCAGCTCAGTACCAGGATGCACAGCCTCAACACTTCCTCAGCATCGCGGTCGATATGTTCTAGCTTACCTCGGTAGTCCGTCACAAACTCAATAATCCGCCATATCTCGTCTGATCCGTTATTCCATCAAGCATCCTGATCCTCGTCTTCACCCCTGATACTCAACGATTCCTCGTCCAATAGCTCGGTAGCGCTCGACACATCAATCGGATTGACTTCGCCAAAGTGCGCACGCGTACGGTGACTCGCAATATCGAAAATTGCATCGATTTTGCCGTTATAGGCAACATGCTCGTCCTTTTTAGATCCCCTGTAGTTCCAACGCATCCAGTGAGCGCAGATCTTCCATCTGCTGGTTTCGGTATCGTAGCTTCTCGACAGAGCTCGGCTGTCCCGGAATCTTCTTGAACTTCTCAACATATGGTGAGAGTTTTGTCTTCAACTTCGCCTTCGAACGGGTAACACGTCCCGGAGTAATGGCAAGCTTCTTCTTCGACTCAGTTCGCCATGGAGTCCGCTTGGCAGGGGTCGTCATAGGTGGGCTATCTTCAAACCCCACCTTAGGTCCCCTCTTCCTCTTCTCGTGGATCGTCAGGCTCTTCGTACGAGCACGAATGTCGCTAGTAGCGTTGTCGTCACTTTTGTAATCAGAGTCAGCAGGTACATGCACATGTTGCTTAGCCGGTTTGACCTTGCTTACAAATTCCAAAACAGGACCAAGGCTAGCTTCCATACGGTTGAAAAAATCGCCCGTCTTGATGGCCAGCTGAATTTCCATTTTCTTATCAATCTCTGCATCCTGCTGCTCCTCTTTCATCTTTTTCTCCAATCGTTTCTGCTCCTTCTTAGCCTGAGCTTTCCGTTCTGCCTCCAATCTTTCAGCTTCTGCTTCAGCTTCCAAACGCAACCGTTCTTCCTCCGCCTTCCTCGCCTTCTCCACCAACACAAATTCTGACACCGAGGCCAGGCTTTTGTTCAGTTCTTCAATTTGACGACGAAGCACTTCCGGTTCCCTCTCCGTCACCTTGCTCTTCGCTTCGCCTTCGACTCTCCTTGGTGACGTTGATCGGCCCCTACTAATGTCGTAAGACGTGGACGCCTTAGCCTCCTGAGCTCGCCAGCGGTTCGGGCACTGATTAGCATAGTGGCCACGTTCATTGCAGCTGAAACACCGGGGTGGTGAGCGACGATATTGTCGGTCCCCCCCTCCTCGGTCGTCTCTCCGGTCATATCCGTGGCGGCTACCACGGTCTTCACTACTCGACCTTCTTCCTTGGTCATAGTCTCGTCGGTCCCCCATCATAACTAATCACACCGTCTTCTCCGATCGCCAAACGTCAACCAACATACGCAAGCCAAAGTAGTAGTGCTTACAATCAAAAGACAGTGTAATAGGTCAGACAACACGCTCACTCGTCTCAGTAATTTTTCTCCAAGAAAGTTCACGTGCGCTATAGCAGGTTGAATAGGTACATGGAAAACACACATGCAGTCAATGAAATGCTCATCGTAGAGACAGTTTAAAGTACGTAGATAGTTTCATCTCAACAACCAAAATATAGGAAGTATCTCAGCAAAGTGTGAGAGAACGGCGTCCCCGTCGCACGTTTCGTCAGCTGCCAAGCTGCCTCCTCAGGGGGTTTCCCACCAGACATCAACCCGATACTCATCGTCCACCGCTCACCCTCTTTCGTTCCTACCGCTAGGCGACATAGCCGCGTAGCTATAGTTCCGTCAGTCCCTACACAGAGGTCGACTATCCATACGACAAATCCTTTATACTGTGGAAACAACACGCACTACCCTCGTTACNGCGTAGCTATAGTTCCGTCAGTCCCTACACAGAGGTCGACTATCCATACGACAAATCCTTTATACTGTGGAAACAACACGCACTACCCTCGTTACGGACCGCAATGGGTCATCTACCGTAAAACCCGGTTCCAACAGACCAACAAAATGGTATGCTCGTAACACCCAAGTCAGAACCCAGTACCCCCGACACAATACATGCACCAAGGCTACCCAGCTTCTGTCCCCTACAGAAAAAAACGTGTGAACCAACAACACAACCCTGTTCGAACCATCATCGACCCAGTTCCTACTCAAAATACATGTGAACCAAAACACAACCCTGTTCGAACCATCAACGCAGATGAGCGGAGTGTTTTTTTTTTTTTTTTTTTTTTTTTTTTTTTTTTTTTTTATGTACGCAGCATAGCACTCAACCCCGTGAAGATGCTGAGGCTTTCTTTTATGTATGTGCTACTATGTATTGTATGGTCGGTCTTGTCTTGTGAAGGCGGCTCAATGAGCTTGGTCTTTTTCAGAAGTGAAGTTCAGACTCTTACAGAATGAACGCGATGTTTCCAGAAGAAAGATTCTGTTTTTTTGGAATCCAGAAGCGTCTGTGCTGCGCGTGTCAGGACCACATAGAACTGATCTGACTTGATTAGGCAACACTAATAATAATAATAATAATAATAATAATAATAATAATAATAATAATAATAATAATAATATTGCAGGGCCGAGGTCCCACTAGCAAAGAGGATCGGATCGAATGCCTGAATCTCGACGTATTTTATGGAGAGATGCAGAAAAGCAGTTCAATCTCGATTTCCTGCACATCTCCACGACCTGGCCCAGATTCAGACATTCGATCCGATCCTATTTGCTAGTGGGACCACGCCCCAGGTTGCCTGGCCATCCGGGGCTAGGTCCCACTTACACGAATTAAGCGATATTGACCGTAGATAGCAAAGATCAACGGCCAGAATCTCTTAATCAGTGCAAGTGGGACCTTGCCCCGGGTCGCCCGGCGGGATACGCCGCTGCAGATAATAAATCCTGGACTTTTTTTTTTTTTCTTTTTTTTTTCGTCTTTGGTTGGTGCAGCTTTTCTCCACCCACTGAAGCAGACCAAATCCGGGCTCTTTTTTGTTTTTCCAGTGTTGTCTTACGGGGGGAAGGAGAGGGGGGGGGGGGGGGGGGGGGGGGGGGGAGGATATAGGAGAGATGGTTAACGGAGGCCTAAATTTTTGGGCTATTTCTCATGCAATTTCAGAAATGTCAGCAGATGAATTTCGAATGCTTCAATAGACACCAAATTTGGCACACAGCAACCTCCAGCCAAAATAAAAGCAGGCTAAAAATAAAAATAAACATAAAAATAAAAATAAAAGAATTGACCCCCATCGATCGAGATTGCCTATGCTTGTTTGGGTCTCGCTCCACTACTATCTGCTGTACGATTTCAGATAGTAAGTCACCGCTCCACTTACTATCCGAAATCCACCTTCGGAAATCACCGTATGGATGTCAGATGGCGCCCTCCGGATTCACCATACGATCCCGTATAGTTCACAGCCTGCAGAAGTCGTTACTTGGAGGGTGGTCGAAGGAGGTCGGCGTAGCATCGCAAAATCGTATGGAGAGCCTGGAATCTGGGCCGACAAATTGATGTCTTGTAGTGCTGTGAGAGTGTTTTGTAGTGAACTCCAAAATTGGAGACTCGTATAGCGGATAGTAAGTGGAGCGACACTAGGTTTTATACATTTTTTTTTGCTCTGACAGCTATATGGCCGCTATACGAAATTTCGTACAGCAGATAGTAGTCGAGCGAGACCCTTTCTCACCTCTCTAGCCCACGAGCTGAAAAGTGGGGGTCTCCGTTAATCATTTGTGGGATATAGATGGGGCTTCAACGGGGTTGCCTCCATTTGTGGGATATAGATGGGGCTTAAAGGCGGTTGCCTGGGTTTGATTTTGTATTTTCTTTCTCAAGGAATTCTGAGGTGACCCTCAGCCAAAAGTTGATTGCATTCAATGCACTGCAAATTCTACACGGCATTCTGTTTTTCAAGAGGGGTTTTTAACCTTTTTTCAGCTTTTCAGACTTTTTCTTTATTTTCTGTGAATTGCACTGGGGCTGCTCAGGACCCCACCCGCGCGTACTGCCCCAGCTGGACATCCGCTGGGCGTCTGGCCAGGCACAAGTTTTTTTTTTTTTTTTTTTTTTTTTTCGTGCATGTGTGCACGGAAAATCAATCCAGATAGCAAGAAAAATCATTGTCATTGCGTAACTTAAAAGTTAATATTTTGTCATAACAGTCGAAAAACAACAAGAACAATGCAGTCTCAAATTACCTTTTTGATTATTTTTTTCTCCGTGAGGTATTCCATGAGCAAAACATCCGTGAGTGTTATTTCAGCATTCGAAAAGAAAAAAAAGAAAAAAGAAAAAAAACTCTGTATATTTTTGGGTGTAACCAGTTATGTCGGGGCCCTGACTCTGTCCTTTGTCGACACAGAACTCGTGTGTGACCGCATGGGCACCCAAAGACACAAATACATGGTTCGACACCGCTTTCAAAACAACCCTCTATTGACTGTAAGCTAAACTGG